AACCTGCCGGACAACATCTTCACAACCTCTTCATTCGGCCAATGAAAAGCTTCCCCAATCAAACACTCAAAACTCTCAAACACTCAACCAATTCTACCCACAAACACCTCTCAAAACCACGGCACCCTCCTCATTTCCTTTCCACTTCACATCTCAAGCCACAACTGCAATTCACTCTGCCTTGCTAGTGTCGACAAACCGAGAGAGCGTGAGAGAGGCCGAGCTGCATTCTGCAGCCGAGAGGAAGAAAAGAAACCGCAGGATTGAATGTTTTTGGTTCTGTCCGTCAGTCGGAGTGAAACCAGGGAGAGCAAGTGGAAGTCGGAGGAGCTGCTGATCATCACCATTTTCGTTCACTTCAGACCACCATTTCCAGCTGCAAATCGAACCAGGACCAACCAGTGTTCGTGAGAGCCGAGAGGGAGCAGAAATTTTCCAGAATTTTTGCGTGAAAGCTTAGCTTGCTGTGAGGTAAATTTCTGGATCGTTTAAGGACTGATCAGAGGTAGTTTGAGCTATCTAGAGGCATGCATGTACTATGGTACAATCGGATGAATGAGATTAAGCCATTAGAAAATTTCTGTTTTGAATGTTGATGTTTCTGCTGAGAAGTTCATTTTTCTGGGACATCTGAACACCTAAGTGACTTTAGCTGAATGAAAACTTGAAGTCTAATACCATGCATGTTGATTTGTGCATTCGGATGATGTGGTATAGTATACAAAAATTCTGTTTTGGGGCTAAACATTCTGCCGAATAGCTATTTTAGAAATGTAGCATTATTTCTGATTTCCTGCGACAATTTGAGTTTGATTTAGTGTTTAACTAATTAATTACAATAAGGATAAGTCAGCTAGGGACATGCATGTTGATGTTAGGCACTCGAATGGGAATTTTAAGAACAGAATTTCTGTTGTGCGCAAGAAATTTAGACTTGCCGTGAGCTTAAACCAGAAACGCAGCTGTAATTTTGGTTAATTGATACACCAGAGCTTGCGAATATGATTAGCTCACTAATAAGAAGGAAATTAAGTCTTGCATGAGGCTAAGTAGCTCGGCTAACCAAGGAAATAAAATGAGAACAGAAAATTATTTCATGAACTATCATTCGAGCTTAGTTGATATAAATCCTGGATTTGTGTTTGATGAATACAGTTATAGTATGAACCTGGATTGATTTGGAAATCTTTACTAGCTAACCACATGTTTTCAAGAGCTAATAGAGTACCAAAAATCCTGTTTTAACCAAAGAAAAATTCTGTTTTGGAATCATTGCTATTGCTGGAATTCCTTTGTGAATTACCGGTAACTTGAACCTGGAAATTTTGAAGATTTCTTTTAACAGGGGTATAACTTCAACTCCTGAATGGAAATTGTGCATTGTTTAGCTAAGTCATTGCATGAGAAAGTGAGAGTTTAATAGCCTACTTCACCTGAGTAAATAACGTGAAAACAGAAAATTCCTTCATACAAGATTCATCCGTGGCTTGCTAGATAGAGTCTTGAATTGTTTTTGGGATGTTAGGAATTCGAAATGCATGACTAAATGCACAAGTAGCCTGTAAATCTGTTTGGCAATAAATCATTTGATATCTTGGGAATCCAATTTTGGAAAGAAGTAAAGTGTAGCTTTGGATAAGCTGGAAAATTTTCCAGCCTTGGTCTTGATTGATAAAGAATCATGGATGGAATTTCTTGGCTTTGGACCAAATACTTGAGTAGGAGGCTGCTGCAAATGTGGTCTTTGGTTTTAAATTACTGTTAGTAGATTTAAATACTTGAAATATTAGCGTGGTTGTCACATGAATTACTGGATGGGTGCTAGGGGCTAATGATTGATGAAGCCCTTGGCCATTTAAATGATTTTTAAAGTATTACTGGATGATGGAAGTTAGATTGCTAGAATGTCTTTGGGACTTCACTTTTATTTGACTTGCTTATATTGGGTTTGCTGAAACCAAGTGCTAATGATTGATGAAGCCTTGGTTGACTATTTTATTCGGAAGTGCAATTGTTGAAAACTAGGGCTAATGATTGACGAAGCCCTAGTAACTTGCTATGTGATTTTTGCCATATTTTGATCTATATTGTGATTTCAAAACGGATTTGGAGCGGGGAAAATTTGTATCGACCTTGCGAACCCGAGTAGCTGCGTTCAAAATTAACCAAAAATATTTTCCAGCTAATACTATATTATAAAATTCTATACCTAGTGTTTTTGCCTAAAACTTTCCATCTCGACAAATTCCTTCAGATCAAACTAGCCTTGATAGTTATAGTAAATAAGTTATATATAGCTTTTGGAAAATCTAAGTCTTACCTTAATTCTTTTCTTTCTTTAAGCTTTGCACTTGGATAGTTAACTATAGGAAAAGGTCTAAAATACGAGCTTTACCAATTTTAGTGAAAAGCTTGGGAGACTTACTTGGCAAGAAAACTTACTTTAAATGAAATAATACTAGCCGCACTCCTATAAAGAAAAGTATTTAAAGGAAAGCCATGTAAAACATTTCCTACTTTTACTAACCCTTAATCCTTAGTGGATTGTCGAATTATTTCGAGAGAATAAACCATTTATAAACTAGAGAATCTTTTATACTTATAAACCTAGAACTTGAATAGAAATTGAAAATGTTATATTTGTACTTTAAAGGTCAAACTTGATTTTAATAATTCACGCAGAAAACTTGTTTGACAAGAAACCTTATTCAAAGCAAATTGGTTCTGGTTTGCACCTCTAGAAAGAAAGAAATCCTTGAAGTATTTTATCACCTTCACTAGTTTAACTCTAGGGAAATTGTTAATTTATTTGGAGTAGATAAACTAGTTATATACCAGATAACTTTGTATTTATAAACCAAGAACCGTACAACAACACTTATAGTTTTAAATTCTGGATTTCTAGGGTATAGCGAGGACGCGAAATTTTGAATCCCAGCTTGAACTCTGAACTTCACTTTTGGTGAGTGTCCCTGCCTGTTTTATGACTATTTGATTAAAGTGCTTTATCGACTCGTTCTGTGATAATTGCCAAAAATGATTGCTGATCCATCGAAGTGAGCAGTGTGAACTTTATCACACTTGCCTTTCGAGTGGTGACTTGCTTGAAGTGTTTTTCGTGAATATCTTGCTTGCGTTTGCTAAGGGCTAAATTACTAGGCAGGGGAGTGTACCACACCATAAGGGTGGGAGGGTCTCTTATCCTGTCCTGGTAATCAAGTGCTGGACGTAAAGTCGGTGGGTGAATCCCTCGATCAGTCTATAACAATCAAGTGCTGGACGTAAAGTCGTTGGGTGAATCCCTCGATCAGTCTATAAATATAAGTGCTGGACGTAATGTCGTTGGGTGAATCCCTCGATCAGTCTATAACAATCAAGTGCTGGACGTAAAGTCGTTGGGTGAATCCCTCGATCAGTCTATAAATATAAGTGTTGGACGTAATGTCGTTGGGTGAATCCCTCGACCAGTCTAAGGTATACTCGAATATTATTGCTTCCCTATTTGTTTACTTCAGTCGAATCAATACGTGTTAATTGTTTCAAGTGATTGCATGATTTTGAGGCACCACTGAGCGTTAGCTCACCCCACGTTTATTTATTTTCCTTGACAGGTACTGAGGTTTGAGAAATCTGAGCTACTTATATCTTCTTAAGAATGTACCTACTTCGTTTTGTGGCTTGTAATGTATTTGAATTAAACGATATAGTTTTGTTTTGGGATTACCACTTGAAGCTGGAAAAGTGTAAACCCTGATTATAATATTTGGCTTGTATGTGTATATATACTCGGGCTGTATGAAATTTTATGTTTTGGAAACTGTAAGACTTTACTTCTTGAATGTAATGCGTGAGGTGTTTAGGAGCCGCCAATTGGCTAACTTCGGATGCTGTTATCTTTGAAGATAATGTGTTTTAGTATTCAAGCCGCTTAAAAGTTGGCATGTTCGGATGGCGAATTGTGTTTTGGTTTAAGTTATACGTGGATATTTGGTCGGTTTGCTTGCGTGAGTCCTGGCGAGAGCTAGGCAGGCGACCCGTCAACCCTCTGGTTCGCCTTAGGGAGAAGTGGGGTCGCCACATTAGTACTTTTTTGAGGTAATTATTCCTCTAAATTAGCATGTTAATTGTTGTATATCATTGCAACTAACTCAAAAACTGATGCTTCATGATTGTAACCCCTATCAAGATGGAGATGCTTTGCTATATATCTTAAATCATACAATAAATCACGAGCAAATTGTGCGAAATGTCACTAAACCATTGCGAGGTGCCGATTTTGGTCATTAAACTTTTTTATTAGCAAAAAATATCACTGAACTAGTAAATTTATACCGTTGTGGTCATTCCGTCTATTTATGCTATTAGGGAAAACGGAAAGTAATTTTTTGAGGGACAATTTCATCTATTTATGCCGTTTTGGTCATTCCAGCCACTCGTTTTTTAAGTCAGAAGAAATTGCCACTTCACAAATCCAGGGCTAGTGGTTGTCAGTGCTTACTATGTTTCTATCACCGTTCTTGTCTTGCCTTCTGTCTGATCTCCTCCAAAACTTTTAGCAATACCGAAGTCAGAAATTTTTGGGTTCAACTCACTATGTAGCAAAACGTTGCTAGCCTTGAGATCCCTATGGATAATTCTTAATCTGGAGTCTTGGTGAAGATAAAGAAGTCCTCTTGATATTCCCAAGGCAGTTTCAAAGTGATTTTTCCAAGCAAGCAACTTTTTTCTACTCTGATCTGCAGGCAGGATGTGGTATTATCAGTGGATTCTCTGTTATTTTTGTAAGCCATCTTTAATTCTCCTAAAGATTAGAGAAAGGAAATCGGACCGAAGATAAAATAGTCCAAGCTCCTGTTAGGCATAAGTTCCAGTCCAACGACATACATCTACGGGAACCAATCGAATTCCAGTCTGACGAATCCGACTCCTCCTCTTCTTCTTCTTGCATTTTCGGAATCCCTCACTAGGTATTGGTCCCAGATTCCCAACATCTCTGTTGACAGGAATTGCCTAGCCCTCTCGAGTTTTCGGTGATCGCGAAGCCCTTGCTCGCCGATGGCATTGCCAGCTCTCACCGGATGTCCTTGGTCTTCAATCAGCAAGGATTGAAGCAATTAGAGGAGAAGGAGGAGGAGGAGGCACCATTTGTACTGCAGAAGTTTGTGAACCACGGCGGCGTTGTCTTCAAAGTCTATGTTGTTGGGGACTACGTGCAATGTGTCAAACGGAGGTCTTTACCGAACATCCTCATGGATAACGATGACGACAAACCATTAGGAATATTAGAGGCCTCTCACCGCAATTTGTTGACCTATTCCCAAATTTCAAATCTTACCGCCGCCGCCGCCTCTTCTTCTTTGTCTTCTAAGAACAATGATGAGCAGCAGCAGGAGGATGTGATAAAGGAGGAGGCAACCGCCCAAATGCTTCCGGTGAGTTTCCTTACTCGCTTGGCCAAGGCCTTGAGGAATGCCTTGGGCTTGCATCTCTTCAACTTTGACGTAATCAAAGACAGTTGGTTTGGGAATCAGTACCTTGTCATTGATATTAACTACTTTTCCGGTTATGCTAAGATGCCTTCCTACGAGACTGTCATTGATATTCTGGTAGTAACATATTCATATTGAACTTACGAGTTGTCTGACACATTTGAGAGCAATTTATGTTAAAAAGCTTCAAGGAAAACGCTGTGCAGACAAAATTGCCCATCAAAAAGTTACTTTCCGTTTCTCCTAACGACATAAGTACACGGAGTGATCAAAACGGTACAGATTTACTAGTTCAGTGATATTTTTGGCTAATAAAAAAGTTTAGTGATCAAAATCGACACATCGCAATAGTTTAGTGACATTTCGCGCAATTTGCTCATAAATCACAATTGATTGATTGGTCAAGGTGGAGACCTCATGATGATGTTCTTGGAATCAATATAAATTCAAGAATTTGGCTTGCAAGAACCAAAATTCCACTAGCAATGATTTCTTTAAGTATGCTAATTATTCAAATCTCACTTATATGACAAGATAATATGATGGATTGCCCTCATATCAAGATCAAATTCAAACTAAATAGTAGATTTTAATATCCCTAATGTGCATGAGCATATATAAGTAGGTCTTTTATTTTACTGCGTCAGACGCAAAGTGGTTGATCGTATTTTATAATTATGTTTCATTGCATATTATATTTTTTTGACTCAATATGTAACTTATGATTTTTCTGTTTAATATCACATAATAAAATTGTCATACTTCAATTCTTATACTACAAAATACCAAATAATAATTATCAAACATTTTTAATTACAGATACTAAACTCCAGCGCATTGCGCGGGCTTTTCCCCCTAATCAATAATAAGAAAAAGAAGTTTGTGATGGATTGGTTAGTATTGCAGTATACAAAGTGCTTTTAGCCGCGGGAGTAACTAATCAATTTACAATTGCACTTCTTTATTGAGAAACAGAAAATGAGACGAGAAGTTAAAGGTAAAAAACAGAAAAATCTCATGTGATAAATCTAATATACAAAAAGCCCCCTATAGTTTCAAAACGTATAACACGACACTTCATGTTTTAAACTAAATTGTAAAGATGATGGAATCCGGTACAATTAATAAGAACGGACAAAATGACAAAAATGTCCTGATATAACTAACCAAAAGGCAACTCAACAAAATCATTTGTTTCATTCTCTAGAGAGAGAGAATTGGAGGTTAAAGGGTAGAACAGGTATATTTGTTAAAAATTAGGTATAAAAAATTTGTTTTTAGATTCCAATATGTCATTTTTGTTAATTTTAACATATTCCGTCACCTTTACAATTTAATTCAAAACATGAGGTTTTGTTTTGTACGTTTTGAAATCACGAGGACTTTTTAATATATTAGATTTACTATAAGGGACTTTTTGTTTTTTACCCAAATTTATATAACACATGCAATTACATATTGCTTGGAAAGACCCATTGGTATGTGAAAATAATAGAGTTGATTATTTAACCATATGTCCCTATTAGAAGCGAAAGTGCTTTATTTGTTCTATTTGTACCTTGTGAAAATGTTCAATATGACTTGAGCTACAAATTTTTGCACTATAGTCTTATACTTTTGAACACATAGCCTGTTTGGTTCTTTGCTTGTTGTGATTAAGGTTGGCCGTTTAGTGCCTTCAGTCTTTGTCTTGTTCTTTCACAAGTAGTTCTTCTCTTCTTTGTTGTTGAATTTGCCTTTTTATTTGTTCAGTTCATTAGTGTTGTTCTCGACAGCTAATTGATATTTGATATGGAGTAAAGGCCTTGAACTATAATTTGGACTTAAGCTTTTAGGATTTCCAATATTGTATTTGAGTTTGAAGGTTGGACAATCAAGAAAAAGTCAAATTATTGTATGTTTTTCAATAAATTTTAAGGCTAATATGCCACTTGTGTGTTTATCGTTTTCGTAAGAATATTTAAAGCAATCTATCTTTGTTAAAATTGTCTTCATAGGATAGAATAGTCGAGTCAACTATATAGCACATGATGATTGAGATCATTGTGGTTACAAAATAATACACATATCACCTCAATGGCATTTCGTAGAAATGGGTTGTTTTTTATACAGTTTTTGCATCATTATAGAATGTGGACTGCTCAAAGAGTTACACATATGATTACATTTCTTTTGTTCTCTTGAATAGAAAACGACGGGATTGGTGAGAGGATGCATCCATACATTTTTTATGGGCATCCAATCATGTCTCTTAGTGCTACCAAATTGATTCAATTAGCAAATAAATATGTATAGTTAATCCGAGTTCAATCTCCAACTGATTCGTGAGAGGATGCATCAATTTAGTACCTCCGTTTGCAGGATTTTACCTCCCACCACTACTTGCAACTTGGAAGTAATCTTGAATTTCCTTTCTTGAGCCTGACTTCCAATTATTGAGGTAACCAAGTGAAACAAAACGCTATACTTCTTCCCATGACTAGGGCTTTTCCTAATTCAGCACTTTGGTCCTAACCTAAAGGGAGTAGCTAAGAGCCTTCAATAATACTACGGAACCTGCTAATATTAGAGACTCTACTCAATGAGTTGCGTACACTTATGATGGATGGGCTTGGCTACACGCGTGCTGCAATGGCAATTACAATGGACGCCTAGCTAAGTTTCTCCTCAATTTTTTTTTTGCGAAAAGCCATCCATAAAATGACCAAGTACAGTATCACATTTGACACTAGGGCTTGGGGCCATTTTAAGCACATCTTGTCGAAAACTCTTAAGCAACTATACAAGTAGGGTGAAGATGGGAGTAGACATGCCTGTTTTGGGAGGGCAAAAGGAATTTTCCTCGTCAAGCCTCTTTACAACTGACTGTGCTGTAGCTAAATTCAGTGGAATTGCTTTGGCCTCTTCCAAGAAGTTTGAGTTTGCCAATTTGAACTGCGCTAGTGGGCTTGACGGCCGTGGAGTGGTGTGCAAGAGACAAACGAATGCTCCTTTCCTACATAATAATGTTCTCATGGTATCTTGAAAAATAAACGCCAGTTATAATTACAATTGATTAACTGGCCAAAATCTGTGTCATTATTATTTTGATGAACTTTAATTAATACTTATATCAACAATAAAGGACTCCAACATTTAGTTGGTTTTAACTTAGCCACTGTTGTTGCTGAAAGGTAATTCATTCCAATAACCAATATTATTGCCCCAGTTTAACAAATAGATTTTCTAAATGGATGCTCAATAGGTATTGGTTAGTACATCATTGCTCAAAAAATTAATGAGATCAATTCCCCAGGGGGGAGGGTTCTTTCTTTTTTTTTTGGGCTTCAGATTAATAGAAAGGGAGAAAGACAAAGAGATTGAAGAATTTGAGTCTCCAAAACTAATGTCCTACCGGTTAAATTGAGTCTTAAAAGTGTGCAATTCTTACCTAAAGCTTGCTATACACAATACAAAGTTAATAAAAAAGGTTATGTACACATAAAACTTTAGTAAGTTTAATTTTTTTTTAAGCTTGTGAGACACTCTAAACCTGATCAGGGAATGATTGTTGATGTTGTTTGTTTCTTATTGATTTTCACTCAAACTATTAAAATGTTTTAACTAATCAAGGACCGAGGAAGCAGGCTGCGCACAATGTAAGTCCGTTTGGCATCAGAAGCCTTCTTCATACGCAGAAAGTAATCCAGTATACAGCTCAACTCAATTTATAATTTGAAGTTGGATATCAGAAATAATTGGATATCCATCATCCATTTAAATCCAATTCACATACAACCATTTATCATATGAATTTAAACAGATTGGATGATATAATCGATGAACCATTTATATGAAACCAATTACGGTTCATATATCCATTTTGTCATCTCCTCTACAGTATCATTAACGAGTGCTCTAATGACACCTGTTAGAAAAACGTACGTGAATGGTATACTGGACTTCATTTACCATCATAATCTATAACGTAATTATCTGTAAGGAGTGCAATTAAGGTTACTAAGCTGTTTTAATAAGAACTTTAGTTAAGATATAAACATAAGGAAAAACCAAAATTGGCTTGATAAAAAATTTAAGGAAAAACCAATTCCAACTTCAACATTTTTTGGTCATTAGTTTGGTAAAAAGAGACAACTAGAAACGAATCAATTTGGGACAAAAAGAATATTGTTTAGTAGCTCAAAATTCTCAATTAAGAAGTTCTGAAAAGGGAAATACGTGGAAACCCGAATATAATCTCAAAGTAGTTTGAAGACTCAAATTTAGTCTAGATGATAAGATTTAGCTGCCCCTATCAGCCCTTATCTTCCCAGTGACACTATGGACCGTTTAGAGCTATCGTATTTTTGTTAAAAAAAAGGAAGGTGTTTTTGGAAGACAAAAAAACTTTTAACATATTTGATTAGTATCGTTCTTTGAATTTAGCAGTCGAAATTTTGGTCATAGAGCACTTTTTGAATAAATTCAAAATTGGCGCTTTTAGAATAATTTTTGTATCTTAAAAATAAAAAAATTAATTTTAACCATTTTATTATAAACTTTGAATTAAATGAAGAGATAATATGTTTTAAAAATTCAAACTTACACATTATAAAACAAAAAAGTTCGTACGCAAGTAAGTATGACTAAGCATTTAATAACTATTTTAGCCAAAACCCCTTATCACCTATGGGCGTTTGTTTTTCCCTTTTAATTTTGGTTCCGTTGCGGGCCAAGAAATAGATTGAGGTTTCAATGCCAAACACGTGACAATTGATCAAGCTAAAACAATTGATTTGACAAACCCCGCGAGACCGGATTGTACTGCCCCATCGGATTCTATGTCCTAATCTTATCGAAACATCATAGATGAAATAAGAAAATTTACGTTGATTGAGCAAATTTTAAGATGTCTAAATATAAGTATATTGCATAAACTAATTTCTTATATTCGCAATAGTAAAAGTTTGAATGAGAGGATGGATTGGATGATTCGAGAGAAAAAAGTGTAATAAGGGTGCATTTGATAAAATTGAAATTTGAAAACTGAAAATTGAAATCTGGATATATTAAATTAGCGAATTATTAAGTACTAATTTTAATACATTTGAGCGTATATCACAGTAAGTGATAAGTGCATAATTCATCACTCATTTTTTGAAGCAAATTTTGTCTAGAAAATTTTTATCAAAAAAATTTTTTTTTTAGAAAATTCAATACCACTTAATGAATTTAGATGTTTTAATTTTAATTAAGATCTGAATCCATTAACTTCAAGTGTTGAATTAGATTATCAAATAGGATCTAAGTGAAAGATTTCAAATTTGACCCCTACATATACATTTTCACCACTGTACTATTAGATGCATGACACGTAAATACATAATTTGAACTTAAATTTGAAATTTAAATGCATCTAGACACCATCCAATTCCAACCATGCATACACTGTCACTGTCAATATATATAAAATTAACTCAAAAAAAAATCAAAATTTCTAAACTTGGGTGCGGGCCTCTGACCATCCCTAAGTCCGCCATTAATGTCAACGAGCCTACATTTCAACGGCCGTACTTAACGGACGTTTTGTCTCTCCGATCAACGTGCTCTAAATCTCTACACCTTTTTTATGCTTTAAAGAAAAATCTTTGTACTTTTTGTACCTTTTTTTTTTTTAGAAGATACAAAGAATAATACCAATGAATAATTAATTAAAACAATTTATTTACAAGACTAGTCTACCTAAATATTTTCTTTAACTTAGCCGCATGTGAATTCTTCATGGGCTTCACTTAGCCACACGTAACAATCTCTGAAATGAAGATTAAATGGGAAACCTCCACAAAGCGACTAGAGTCGAAATTTCTCAAGTACTCATTACCTAATCCATTCCTGTTAACAAAGAACCGTCTGAAAATGATAGCAAAGCAATAAAAAAAAATGGTGGTTTCTACCTTCGACCGCAGGCGCCCTTCCATCCTAGAAATTTCCTATAGTTCATTTGATTACAAACTTACGTGTCTAGGTGTACAATTGACTCTGCATATTTTAGATTTGTCAACAAGTGTAAAAAATTTATCTAATGTCAATTGTGACTAAATCAGCCAATATAGCCAACACTTATTGGATAAGGATTAAGTACAATTGTATTCTGTGCGACTCCATTCGATCGTTGTACATATTTAAAATTTTAGTGTACAATTATATCATAATATTGAACTGAATATATATTAAATATTTTATTTATGTATGTCAATTTCACCTCGAATGTAATAGGGTTAAAAATAAAAAAAAATCCCATGTGATATACCTAATACACAAAAAAGTCCCCCGTTGTTTCAAAACATACAAAATGACACCTCATGTTTTGAACTAAATTGTAAACTAACAGAATTCGTTAAAATTAACGAAAATGACGGTTTCGGCTGTTAAACTTATCGGATTCCGTTAAGTTTACTGTTAAGTTTACCGAATTCCACTAATTTTAATGAATTTTGTTAGTTTACAATTTAGTTCAAAACATGAGGTGTCCTTTTGTATGTTTTGAAATCATGGGGGACTTTTCTATGCATTAGGTATACTACAGGGGGCCTTTTTGTTTTTAACCCAATGTAATAATGTAATATAAATATAATTATACACCGATTAACGTAAAATGTATAATAATCAGATTGATCCTACCAGATCCCAACAGCACTAGCCCCCCTCTCCCAACACGTACTACTATTATAAATCTTCATGCATTGAATAAGATTCCTGATGGTATTAGGTAAGCAAGTTGCTGGTACCCATGATTGATTTTTGGCGATTGACTGTCTTGGCAAGCCCCAAAAGACAAGGTCCAAGAAAATTAACTACTATATCTTTTTTAGAAGTTTTGAAAACTAAAAGTTGACATTAGAAAACAGGGAGAGTGCCCCTTGTGAAGTAGTAACATTAGCAAAATCAACATAGAATCACAGCTACTGAATAGTTTTTTTAATTCCGAATGAATTTCAAATAACTTTTTCTTGAACATTGCATTATGGGGAAAACTTTAGTGGGAAATATTTAGAAAGAATGCAGAAATCAAAACAAAAAGCTTCCCTGAGTAACAATTGTCAAGAAAGAAAATTCTGGATTTATAGTAGCTGTAGTATGAAAAAAGGGGAGCTGTTTAGTCCAAACTGAACCTCTGAGTTACCCTATATTACTTTTCTGCGTGGCTGTGTCCAGTGCGTTCAAATTATAACTACTGCAGAAGAACAAGTCAGGCTTACAAAAAAAAAAAATTTCTCGATTGTTGGCTGGCATACTGGCACAAGGAAAACTGGCAAGTAACGCGTAGCAGAAAACAGTGACCATAAAAAAACCAAGAAAGGGAGCAGCATCGACCTTGAATCCCTATAAATATATTCTTGTCCTAGGCCTTCACAAACATCTTCAATTCTAAGTTTCTAACAACAAAGATCTTCTCTCTGGAGGCATTTTCAAGCATCTTCATTTTCTTCAATATTTCGAAACAAAGATTATGGATTCTTTTGCTGCAAAGGGTGTCATATTTTCTGTACTTGTACTCTTGCTAGCTAACATACAATGTGAAGCATATTTATCTCCAAAATTTTACGATGGTACATGTCCAAAAGCACTGAGTACTATCCGAAATTCTATTCGTCGAGCAGTGTCACGTGAGCGGCGCATGGCAGCATCTCTCATTCGCCTCCATTTTCACGACTGCTTTGTTCAGGTTAGAATAAAATGCAAAATTTACCGCTATTATTATATGCTTTTTAAAAAAAAAAAAATTGATTCAATGCTAAGCAAGATTAAGAGAATTTATTATTTACAGGGCTGTGATGGATCAGTTTTACTTGATGCGACCTCTTCATTTCAAAGCGAGAAAACGGCACCGGCAAACAGGAATTCAGCTAGAGGTTTTGAAGTCATAGAAGCCGCGAAACGCGAGGTAGAAAAAATATGCCCCGGAGTTGTTTCTTGTGCAGACATACTTTCAGTCGCAGCAAGAGATGCATCAGTTGCTGTAAGTATTAACATTGACAAAATTCATGCTTGTTCAAGTAAACATTCTTCATGATAATTGGCAGCTAGCTAGCTTTTGAAGGCTTAGATCAACAGTTATCATCTAAAATTGATTTCCTGCATGATTATAGGTTGGCGGTCCAACATGGCAAGTAAAGCTTGGAAGAAGAGATTCGACCACCGCAAGCTTTTCTCTGGCACAAAGAGATCTTCCAAGTCCATTTGCAAGTCTTAGTGATCTAATTTCCAAATTTGATGCAAAGGGTCTTAGTGCAAGGGAAATGGTTGCCTTGTCAGGTGAGGAGGATACACACACAAAAAAAAAAAAAAAATTTTTTTTTTGGTTGGTTAAAATTGCATTGATTATGTTTACAGAAAATTAATACATTTTCGAAGTATCTAAATCTCCAATCAAAAACAAAATGCAGGATCACACACCCTAGGCCAGGCTCAATGCTTTGTATTTCGCAACAGAATATATAGCAATGGAACAGATATTGATGCTGGATTTGCAAGCACCCGCAGGCGCCAATGCCCAGCAGCCAATGGAGTGGGAGATAGCAAGCTGGCACCACTTGATCTGGTTACACCAAATTCATTTGACAATAATTACTTCAAGAATTTGATGCGGAAGAAAGGTCTTCTTATATCAGACCAAGTCCTTTTCAGTGGAGGATCAACCGACAGCATTGTCTCCGAATACAGCAAAAATCCCAGGACTTTTCTGTCCGATTTCGCTTCTGCCATGGTGAAGATGGGAGATATTGAACCCCTCACAGGCCAAAATGGTATCATAAGGAAAATATGCAGTGCTGTGAACTAGAAATAATTCTGATTTGAATGGCTTTCCCTTCAGAGTCCACATGGAAGAATAATTACGTCCAATAAACTTTTCTTGTCCGTCCAAAAATAATTAGTTTTTCATTCATTTGTTCTTCTTGTAACTTGCAAGTGTACATCTTCGCTCTATTCCCGTGTACAAGTGAATTTTTCTTGTATTATTTTTTTTTTTCAACTGAGACAGTACAATCATTTGTTAATCTCACTGTCTTGTCTGCTAATAATATACTCAATATCATTATCATCACAGAATTAGAAATTGAATTGGTTTTGACTTTTGACCACCCTAATTTCTCTATTATTCCGACACTCAAATTTGGTATACCAATACGTGTTTATTAGAATATAATTGTTGCAAGAAACTCTTACCAGCAAGGCTTGAATCAAAGAGCTTGACGGATACAAAACTTTTCTTTTGACGTATGCAACTTCCGAAATTTTTTTTTTTTTAGGGAAAATCGCCAATTTAGTCCCTAAACTTTTTTTTTCCGTCAATTTAGTCCCTATATATTATTTCTAGCCAATTGGATCCCTAAACCTATATATCGGTTCCAATCAAGGATCTTTGCAGCGGCGCCACCGTATAATTTCCATTAGGTTCATAATCGTGCAATACAAAAGGGGCATTTTAGGGAATTCCATTCTGGCGCCTTTTCCAATTAAAAAGTAAATCGATGTAAATCCCAAATCTAGGTACTACCTCTCTTGCACCAAAGAGAGCTGTCCAATTTTTGCAGACCCGCGTAGAAAAAGCACTGTAATTCAATGCATTCGAGAAAGAATTGGGACAAAGCATCCTCAAGCTCAGCCAGTGATCAATTTATTAACACCGTCAAAGGATCAAATGGTTCAGAAACAGGAAACTCGATTTATGAAGGAAACGAGAAATACTACAGTGGAGACAACATCGTGCGATGCTATTGCCAAGAACAATGCCGAATTGTGACTGCTTGGACAGAGGCAAATCCATCAAGAAGGTTTCATGGTTGCAGAAATTATGGGGTAATTTTTTTGTATGTGCATAAAGTTTAGAATTTGTTAAAATATTTCTTGTCTTTTAACTATGAAATGGTGGTAAATGCAGAAACGTGGTGCTTGCAGATTTTTTTTGTGGTATGATCCACCCATACCCCAAAAGATGAAAAATATAATGGGTGCACTTTTAAGGGACCTGAGAAGTGTTGAGAGAGAAAACGCAGCATTATTGATTGAAATGAACAAGTTGAAGGCAAAAGTGAAAATATTGTTTATAATTTGTATCTGTTTTGGCGTTTTACTTGTTTTTGTACTTGGAGGCAAGGAAAGGAAGAAACAAGGTTTGCTGGAATTGAAGATGTTGCAGTAGTTTTGAAGAATGTATGGAATTGTATGGTTCATCTGTACTTTAAAATGAAGTAAATACAATTGAGTTTTCATCTATGTTTGACTCTGTTTTGCTTCTGGATTTGTTATTACTCTGTTTTGCATCTGGATTGCTCATGTAAGTTTCTGTGACAAGTTCAATGTTATGCTGACAATGTTGACTGAAGTGGAAGAATTGCAGAAGTGATGGCCATTAAAAAATTGGGTAAACAACAAAAAAGCCCCCTGTGGTTAGGCAATCATACATAAAAACCCCTTGTGGTTTCATATCATACCAGTCGATACCCCGTGGTTTGAATTAACCTGAAAAGTGGACGGAAATCGTCAAATATTCGGCGTGTGTCTTAAACGAACTGCAAAGGCGCGTGCATATGCGAAAAACAGATTTCCACCACAAACTTTCACCTGATATGCCTATTTTAGCCTTCACTCTTTAATAATAAGAGACCAGCTTCCGTTTCTTCTGAGTCTTCATTCAATCTGTTTCCAGATTATTCATTAACTACTGTAGACACCAAATTTTTAGTGTATTTTTATTTACTGTTATTTTTATTTTTCATGCTAGTTTTTATTTACTTTTAGTCTTTTATTTTTGTTTTAAGTCATTTTAGCATAGAATTTATTTTATAAAAAAAAAAAGAGGGAAACCCGCAAGCGGGTTTCAGGCTATTTAACAAATTACTTTAAAAAAAAAAATTTTTTTTACATGCAAGCTGCGTTGAGTTGCACATGCCCATCGGAGGGCCCTAGGATGCCCAGCAAACCTCCCCTCTCATCCTCACCCTTCAGGTGAGGGTTTGAGAGTATGTGTTTGATATAAATAGAACAGAAACGCAGCTTTTAGTCATTTTACATAAGGGGGAAACCCGCAAGCGGGTTTCAGACAGGCTATTTAACAAATTACTTAAAAAAAAAAAAAAATTTACATGCAAGCTGCGTTCTTCAAAAGGGTATTTTCGTCTATTCACTCAGGAAACCCGCAAGCGGGTTTCAGGAAGGCTATTTAACAAATTACTTAAAAAAAAAAAAAAATTTACATGCAAGCTGCGTTCTTCAAAAGGGTATTTTCGTCTATTCACTCAGCTCCGTCTGTTTTGCCGATTTCCGTCCACTTTTCAGGTTAATTCAAACCACGGGGTATCGACTGGTATGATATGAAACCACAGGGGGCTTTTATGTATGATTGCTTAACCACAGGGGGCTTTTTTGTTGTTTACCCTAAAAAATTGTTGCTCAGTCGAGTCATTTGCTTTCTTATGCCCTCTGATTCCTTATTTAACACGATTTGCTTTGATTTTATTTAGCAGATCATCGACTCAAGCCCTGGATTTTGTCCAAGACATTTTTTGTTTTCATTTTGGATTTTTGGGTGTGTATTTATCGCAGACTTGTTTCGTTTACTTTTTAATTGGAAAAGGCGCCAGAATGGAATTCCCTAAAATGCCCCTTTTGTATTGCACGATTATGAACCTAATGGAAATTATACGGTGGCGCCGCTGCAAAGATCCTTGATTGGAACCGATATATAGGTTTAGGGATCCAATTGGCTAGAAATAATATATAGGGACTAAATTGACGGAAAAAAAAAGTTTAGGGACTAAATTGGCGATTTTCCCTTTTTTTTATGGTTGTGATGGATCAGTGTTGCTTGACGAGTTCTTATCAACTCAAAGAATTGGAAAAAATTAATTCAGCTAGAGTTTTTAAGTCATAGAAGCCGCGAAACGGGAGTTCAGAAAGATATGTCTCCGATTTGTTTCTCCAACATGGCAAGTAAAGCTTGGAAGAAGAGATTCAACCATGCTCTACAAGTCATTCTCTGCCAAATTGAAATCATCTAAGTCCTTCTGCAAGTCTTAGTGATCTAATTTCCAAATTTGCAGCAAAGGGTCTTAATGGAATGGAAATGGTAGCCTTGTCAGCTAAGTATTACAATGAACTAATGTCTTGCATTTTTTAAAACCTCCAACACCCTTTCCATCCCTAACTGTCAGACCTAGGTCTTGCATTTGTTTCTTTTTTTCATTTTTATTTATTTATTTTTTTCATTTGATTGAATTATGGTTATAGAGCACCGATTTTTTGAACCAGAAATTTTCCAATAAATATTTTTCTTGAACCAGAAATTGCTGCAACATTTTGGCTTTCGTGTGGAATAATATAAAGATAATTGCTGCAAGAATTTCGTACCAGCAATCTTTGGAAAAGAGCTGGAAAGATGCAAAACATTTATTTTGACATATGTCAACTACAGGTGAAGGGGCAAATAATTTACCACAAACATCCTACAATAAAAGAATAAAAAAAAAAATGGAAACAACAAGACACTTCAGAAGAGCATTGATATGGTAGATCAGAATTATCGCATTCCACTTCTTTCTGCAGGGGAAGCCAGTGGTGGAATGCTTTGCTTATGATAGAAAAAGTTATCAGGATCGACTATACCTTCAATAAGTGCCAGCTCTTAAAATTATTCTTGAAGTATTTGGATCCCCATACCCGAGCTATAGAATAGCTATTGCCAATGACATTATTGGAACCCAAATCAAGGTCTCTGGAATTGACAATAGCACCTCTTGGCCGTTTTGACACATAAGGAGCCATAAACTCGTACAACCCTCTTATCCATTTGTTGTAGTAATTCTCTAAAGATTCACCATCTTTATCCTCCATCCACATCACTACATGTAGTAGCTCATATAGCACGCCTTTCCTGTGTGGAAATGGGGTTTCTGATTCTGATATCTCATTCATTCTTCCTCCATAAGGATGTAAATGTATGACTAGCCCGGAGGAGTTGATATCTGAACACCATTTCCAGAACTCTTCTACAGCTTCATAAGGTAGAGTGTTGTGAACCAGGTCTGAGTTGCTCTTGAAATGCATATGAGGTGCAGGAGCTACTCAATTCTTTAGTTGCATCTATAGTTTCCCCTCCTGGGTACTCAGAAAAATGGAAGACTGACTCAATCCAACTCATCTCTAAGCAATCTTCTTTTTTCTAATGAATTTCGGGAAAGCTGTCGTCAATCATGTTAAGGAGCTGATCAGCTTTTCCAAGGAACAGAGAATTGAATGTGGCTTGGATTGTTCCATCATTTCCTGATGTTGTAACTATGCTCAGGAGCAAGTCTTCACTTAGCTTGTGTCCTACATATTGCCATTTGTGAATAAGGTCTATGGCTGCTTGCTCTAAAGCCTTAGATATTGTCAAAACACTAACAACAGGTGGAACATGCACAAGCTTGATTTTGCATGCTACTATGACTCCAAAACATGCTCCTCCAGCTCCTCTGATGGCCCAAAAAAGATCAGCTCCCATCGATCGACTATCGAGAATTTGACCATTAGCGTCAATGATGCAAGCATCAATGACATTATCAGCAGCTAGCCCGTACTTTCTGATCAGGTTACCGACTCCGCCACCACTAAAGTGTCCGCCAATTCCTAAGCCCAGATACAGCCCAGCTGGGAAGCCATGAATGGAACTTGAATTCAACTTGAATTTGATGATAAATTTAGAATAGAAGCAAGCAAAATGAATTACAAAGTTCTATACCCCATGTCTATGTTATCTTCGACTATGTTTTCCCCCTCACTTCACAATGTTCATTATGAAAAAAGTAGCACTTTATTTATAGAGCAAGGCAGACTCTAGAGTAAATCTGCAGAGATTGTGCCGGCCAGTTGTAGAAATGCGGGGTCTTACCCGAGAATCCTGACTTCTAACAATGGCTATTCTGTTTTCTGGGATTGCTACTGTCCGGAA